GACGGACAGACGGACAGACGGACAGACGGACAGACGGACAGACGGACGGACGGACGGACAGACAGACATGGCTTAATCGATTTCTTTTTTCATCCTGATCATTTATGTATACATTTGTCTATATCTATCTCGATTCGTTTTGGCTGTTACAAACAACCGTTATGTGAACAAAATTAATATACCCTTGTGCACAAGTGCGCTCGGGTATAAAAAAATTGGAACAGAATTAATTTTTTTCCCCCGTTTAATTTGAACTTTTTAAATTTTTTCATAAAAAAAAACAAAACAAAATTGGAATGATTAATTAATTCCCCAGAAACTATCAGACCTATCGTAAAGGGATGTATATCACGTCTGTGGAGAATTTGTTAGCTTTTTTTTGCCATATTTCGTACTGAGAGCATAAGCACGTAATTAAGTGGAACCACTTTTTTTAGTTGAATAACGGTAACTTGCAAATATCTCGGAAAGTTATCCATAGAAAAAAAAATTAAATCGATTTTCGCAGTCAGCGAGCAATTCTACATAGGAATTGGATAGTGGCATCCAGTGTGCATTTTTGCTGTAAACCAGTGTGGGTATTCTGTCGAAACCGGTCGAAGCCGTTTAGACAAATATTTTTCAAAAGGTTAACGTTACTACTCTTTTGTTAAGTCAATTAAGTAGTATTCAATAAAATCAAACATTTGTTATTTTTTAATTGGTAAATAGTTAATTTATTTAATAAGTATCTCATTGATAATAGTTACATACAATATTTATTTATAGGTATAGTAGATATGTATGCATGTATATATTGTCTGTTTAAGTATATAATAATTATATGCTGGTATATAAGTTTATGTATTATAGATATTTATAACACAATTTTGTTTGTAGCATTATAACGTAAATATGTATTTGTATTTATATATAAATATTTTCAATATAATAATCGTATAAACTTTTCACAAATTATGTCATACACATCTAACAGCAGCGTTTAAAACTTGCAGTATACGTGTATCTATGAAGTTAGTTATTATTTTATTTTTATGTTAGTTTTAAGTTTCTTATAAGCACAGTTGCCTGCGCTCTTGCGTCTATTTGTGTAAAACTACGAAAAGCCTACGTATACGCCTAGTAGCACGCACCTGAATATGACGCAATACATATTTATGCGCGCTTTGTTTTCGATTTCATGTTGCTATTGTTATTATTTTATTTAGATTTTTTTATTTAGGACATCGCTACAAATGTTGAGACAAGCAAACAAGTGTTGTTTTAATGAAAATTTTTGATTTTTCCTACCATAGGTTATGGTGTATACATATGTAAGCCGATTGACACATGTCGAGAACAAAAGTGGAATTTAGTGGAAGAAACCTATTTAAAAGAACATAATTATGTACGAAAATAGTCTGCTAACACTTTTGAAAAGAGGGCGTTAAGGGCTTTGTAATTTAATTTAATTTTTTAAAGGACTTTATGATATTCTTATTTTGTGCATTAATGGGCGTTATTTGCTTTAAAAAATTGCCCATCTACATAAATTTTTTACTTATTAAAATCAACTTTTTAAAATAAAAAAATTATTTCTATTTTAAGAAAAAACTTTATTTCTCTTTAAGATAAACAAATTTTAGATTTTTTAATTTTGAAAATTTTTGTAAATTTATTAAATTCAAAGAATTTGAAACACATTTTTTATATGGTATGTTATAATTATAAAAAATGTATCTATAATATTTAAGAAAAAAAGTGTTTTCCCTTCAATTCTGAAGATTTTTGTTTTTGAACATATCAAACGATTTTAAGACACTAAATTGGAACTCAAACATTTTTAAAAATTATAATATTTTTTTAGATCTAAACACTTTACTAAAAACCTCCAAATTAAACAAATATCAGAAACTACCTGATATTTTTTTAATTTTTTGTGCTGGTTTTAAAAAAAAAGATTTTGACTATTTCAATTTTGAAATTTTCTTTCACTATGTTCTTTGTTTCTACTTCAATTAAAAATTTTGTTTAAACAAACTAAAAAGAAGTAGACTAAAATTAAAGTCAAAAAATCAAATATCTAAATAAAAATTTTTAGTAATAAAATTTACAAAGAGTTTTAGAATTAAAAAAATCGAAAGAAATCACAACTATAACCTCTTGCATATATAAATTTTTGTTGTTTTTCTACATAAATTTTCATCAAAACACGGCCTCTAGCTCTAATAAAGTTGTTGAATGGAATTAAAAAAAAATCTTTGAAATATTAGTTTTCAAAGAAGTTTTTTCAATTTGATTTTTTCATTAAATATTTTAATTTATTTGCTCTCTTCGCAATTATAAAAGTAGATTTTGAGTTTTTATATGGATAGTAAATTGTTTAATTATAAACAAAACAATTCAAATATACCTTGTAGTTTATTTTCTCTTTTCTTGACAAAAATGAGATTTTTAAATTTTGAAAATCTTTGGTGAACTTACTAAATATTTTTTAATTATTCAAATTTATTAATTTGCAATTTAATTTCAGTTTTTGTTTTAATCGTTAAAATATGTAAATTTTAATTTTTAACGTAAAAATTTAAAAAGTTTTTTTTTAATTCAACGAAATGAAATTTTTTATTCTCTATTGTTGTGAGTTTTGATATTAAAACTTTGTGCTTTTATGCAGTTTTTTCACACAAGATGTTGTGTAAATTTTCATTTGGTTTAAGTTCAATATAAATTTTTATTAAAAAAGTTTAGTTTTTTAGTTTGTTTGTTTATTTACATGACATATAATTAATAATAATTATATTACAAAACTGATGGCGCTAGCCGCTTAGAACATATTATTATTTTTTTAAGTTGAATTCTTATAATTTTAAGTATCGACTATTTTGAATTATATTTTTTTTTATAACTGCGAAAAATTTAAAGTCCCGTATAGATATGAAAATATTTACTATTCATTTAATTATTCAGTTTAAAACATAATTTATAACAATAAGAAGAAAATCATTAAATATGTAGGTAGTTAGTGGAAAATGCATTTTGTTTTTCAGAAGATGAAAATACAGATATTAAATTTTAAAGACGAAAAAAATTACTGCAAATTATTTATCTTTAAAATGTTCACATTCGTAAATTTATAATTTAGTTTTTTTTCATGAACGATCAAAATTGAAAAAAGGCAGAAAATACTTCCACTAACTCTTTTCTAGTTATTGAATAAAAGATTAAACAACTTTTATGGGATTTTATACTTTTTAAGTTTATAAAATTTAAAGTTTTTACAAAGCATTTTCAATTTTATTTTCTTTTATCTGCTTAAATAGCTGAAAAAGTTTTAGTCGAAACATTTTTTGCTGTGATATGGATTTATTTTTTTTTGGAAATTTTTTACTATAACTTATTGTTGGGTTCAAAGCAAGATATGTTCAGTCCCATGAATTTGCCGCTGGTTTCAATTAAAAAGTTTCGGCACAATGATTTCAACTTCTACTTAAAAATTTAATTTTTTTATCTTTCAGAGGTTAATAAAAGAATTAAAGACATTCATTTTTTTCACATTCGATATACCCTACTTTAAGTACAGCAATAAAAAAATTTCAATACTAATTTTCAGTAAATGCTCTGTAAGTGTTTTGCATAAAATCAAAAATATGCATTTGTTTTTCTGCTTTGTTTCAGTAAAACTGCAGTTGCACAAAGTATTACAATACAAAAACAACAGACATAAGGAGGTAACAATCTCAAATAAATTTTTTACAAAGCATCATAAAAAAAATTGTAAATGCAAGTTCTGAGGCCACTAATTAATATATTATTTTGTTTTTTTTTATCTTCTATTTTCCGTTTTATAATTTGTTACCCAACTTCTGGCAAAAACTGCAGACACAAATATTTAAATTGCATTCACTTTGCTGCAAATGGCAAGATTAACCCTTTTCATAAAAATGTAAGCCATTAAAAATCCCCATCCACTTCTATTTTTTGTTCTCGAACATTCAGTTAATTTGCGTTTTAATACCTGATTACACTCTCTCAACATTTATGTAAGTATGTGTGTCGCTTATAGACAAAAAAAAAAAATATTACAAAACTATTAACAAAAACACTGCTTTTTTGAGACTTACGGCTACGAATGTGTTAGCAAGATTACTCATATGATAAAATAAAGAAATTATAAATTATAAGAACAAATCAGAAATCGTCAAACTACATAAAATTCAGCACAAAAAAAAATTAAAGTAAAGCAAAACTTATAAATAACTAATGCACTACGTTTTATAGTGTTTTTTCTTTCATAAGTACCAAAATATTAGAACAAAAACGCTTCCCAAATTTGTATATATCCTAATTACAAGTCGTTGCAGCTTTCACAACGTTAACATTTTCAATGTTCCTCTTTAATTACAGAAAATATAAGCTTTATTTACTTCCTCCCATCAAGCGAAGACAATCTTAACTGGTCCCATGGGCAGCTGTTTCATGTAGTTCCAGGCATCGACGCGTGTCATCTTCGCTGTGGAGGCACCATTTATGCTTAGTATTTCATCACCATTTCGCACTTGACCAGTTTTGTGTGCGGCGCCGCCTTAGAATAAATTAAAATAAAAAAGTAAATGAACAAAAGAATATACACAAAGCAAGGAACAAATAAATTTGCAATAAACAATGAATATACAAATAGGCTAAAATGTTTGATCTGGTGGATTTTAAGTTAAAGTTAAAGTGTACTGGACAAATTAGGAACCCGTAATACGGTTACCGTGTGGTGGGTTCCAGGCCATGAAGGCTTTGATGGTTAGTTAGGTGCTGACATTTTCGCGAAACCTGAAGTCAAACGCGGCCTGCATTGTTCAAGTCTTCCTGTGGTCCATCCAAGGAATATACGGTAGATCTGCTAAGAAGATGGCCGGACCTTCAGGTTGCAACTCACTAGCATATTTGTAAGTGCAAAAGACAATCGAGAGCTCTATCATTTCCCTTCGTGGAGTCTGTAAACGGCTGTTTAGCTTAGTCGGGAGGGTTTAAGAACTATCAGTATCAGTGGACACCTGATAGAACACTGCACGCAAAGGTACCATCTTTGTTATAGGAGGGACTGTAGATGCTGTTGGTTGGTGGCTCAGAGCATATACTGCGTGAAGTATTACTGTCTTGATTCAGAGCCCCTCTCGGGGATTGCGCGTAAGTGGAACTACGGTGTCAAGTCCAGGGTACCCAGTCAAAGCCTATAAGTCCTGAAATCTACGGCTTTCGAAGTTTTACCAGAGACTTTAATCTGGTACCACGGGGAACAGATGCTCCCGAAGTACGCCGGATGGACTTGCAAAGCGGAAAAATGGTGAAAATGGTGTATAATGGTGAAATTTGACGAAATGGTAAAAACGTCTCCGGGCGGACAACATCAGGTGAGCATGAGAACAAGTTTCGCAAGCCTGTGCCTGTACGAGTTGTGCAGGTTGAGCGAGTCGGGCGAGTCTGCCTAGCGGTGGTGGTTGTGGTTTACCACCAAAATGCGGGTAGAACCACCAATGTTTCAATGTGGAGTCGCATTGCAATCGGATGCCGGGATCCAGAGAACGGCAAGACGTTAGGTAGGTTTCGGCCCTACCAAGGTGGCCAGTGTATCCACCACACACTGTCAACTGGTACTGAAGTGCTTGCATTTAAAGGCGCTGATCAAGACATTTGAATTGATCCGTTGTGCTTAGGTGCACCGTGATGTCAAGTCATTTCATCTTAAACACAGTGGTTTCGATTCAGAATCTGGAATGTGACAACCTATCCCCACCAGGATTTTCTTGCTCCTACCAGCTCTGACAATCGACTCCGATATAATGCTAAGCTATCAGGGCGCTGTATGGGGGAATTCTGATTGATAATTCGACAGTTCATTAGACAGTCCTCAATCATTGAACAGTAGCTGCTTAGAGCGAGCGTTACGTTTGTGTCTGAGGCTCGATAGTTTTCCTTGTCGGGCGCTAGACGGAAGAAAGCTAAATCCAAAATCGAGATTTATTTCCGGCAGGGCATCTACACTCATGGTTCAGGAATGCAGAAAGGAACCGGCAAGTCTTTACGTGGAAGAGATACTGATTAGACTCACTGCTAAACGACTGCAGCGCATTTTAAGTTGATATTGATGTTATAGAGAAACCAGCTTATCTTATAGGCAGTAATATCACGATTGCACGGAAATGCCGTACCACGCTAGCATCGTTGGGAAATATTAACATCGTCCTTTTCTGCGATACAGTAATAGAAATAAACAACCATATTTTGTTGATCATATTGAAAAAAACTACTTTAGGATCAGCATTGTCCAAACGGGTCTGCTTTCATAGATATATATATGCAGATAGTTCTAAGAACTAGAGACTTGTTACCTTAGAAGTTGCTAAAACCGCCTAAAAGTATGCACATATATTTTTCAGCAATTTCGATACTCACCCATGAAGACCTTTTTCACAATCAAAGGCTTATTTCCTAGCGGCGAATCAAAGCCACCCTCAATGGAGAAACCCAGTCCACAGCTGTCCTTAACAATCTCTACTGTACGTGAGCCGACAGCGGCATCTTCTGTTGACAAAATAAGCGACAATTTAAAAAAAGTGTTAAGCCATACATAAGTATAATAAAATAGGTTCCCTGAGCTCAAAAAAAAAAATACCGATTACACAGTAAGAAATGCAGCTCTTTGAATCAAGTATCTCATTTATAATCCGTCTAGCATAAATAAAAAATTTCGCCAGTAAATGTAACCAACTGAGGGTTAGCTACAAACAGCCTTTTAGCATTTCTGAGAGTCTCTCTCTCTTTCTCGCTGCCTTCGAACTCTCTACCTCTATTTACCTTGCGCTCGTATTTCCGCCGCAATGGCGTTACGCGCCTCAGCGGCACGTTCCAACAACTCGCTCGTACTTAGTTTGCTAGCGTCGGCGCGTGATTGCTGCCGACGTGTGCGAATGCTCGCCAGCGTCGCTGCAGTGCTATCCGCCATAGTTGGTGTGGGACTCGCGCTGGATACAGTACTGGGAGTTTTAGATGCATTAGCATCTTCGCTGGCCGAAACAATATCCAAGTCTAGGTCCAGAGAACGTGAGGCTTTGTGATAGTTGCGCTTCTTCTCATAATCCACTTCGGTGGGTTTCTCATTAAGCGAAGTGAGCGAGCCGAGGGAGGAGCGTTTCTTGGTAAGCGGTTTCACAATTACCGACTCGGAACGTGTAACGACGAGCACCACTTCGGGGCGTGGGGTCTGCAAGAGGAATGTTGTGAAATTTAGTACGTAAAGCGCTTGTGTAAAAATATAATGTCGTAAAAGCAACTCGATCAAGAAGCTTACCTTTAGTACGGTGATAGACTCACGATGCGTGAGGCCACGCATGCTCATGCCGTTAACGGCCAATATGCGATCTCCCTTCTTCAAGCGTCCATCCTTGGCTGCCGGCGTATTGTTTAAGATTTTATGTATCTGAAAAGAAAAATAGAAAAATGAACAACCGCACTTTGTTAAGTTGTGCCAAATTTTATTCACTGTAATTTCCTTGGCCTCATAGTCGGAGCCACCGGCGAGCGTTACGCCAATACTGCTCTCGGGCGTATCGCGTTGTAGCACCACTATGAAAGCCTCCGGTGTTTTGAGTGGCGGTTCCGCCTCCTCGATGATTTGTTGTATATCTTGCGCAGTGATCAGGCTCTGATTGCTGCCAAGCGACGAAAAGCTGCCGAATTCGTTGGTATTCTCTTGTGTGGACACATTTTGCGTGCTGGAACTAACACCCGACGATGACGAGGCTATGGAATCGAGCGACGGGAATCGCTCGTGATAGTTAGCACCTGCTTTGCTGCCAATTGTCTTAGCAGCGAGCAAACTGTTCGTTGATACCGCCGGCGATACGTTAGTTACAGCGTTTGCTGCTGCAGCGGCAGCCCGTTCAATGGCTGCTGTGCGTTCGAACTTCTCGCGTATTTCAGCGGTAGTGACCTTCGTTGTGGTGGCAGATTTGCTGCCGTATGTCTTGGTGCTCACAACCGTGGACTCATACTTCTCTAGCACCGGTTTGAGTGGCGTGCGCTCCGATAGATTGCGACCCGTCACTTGCTTGGTCTTCCTTGCCACTTCGACTTGCATCCATTGCGTTAACTCATTGCTCGCTTCGGGCTGTGTCTTTTTGGGAGTCACAACTTCAGTGGCTTTGCGTGGTGTGACGGGTTGCACCGGCACGGCAGTGACAGCTGGCAATATAGCGGCTTGCCTCGGCTTTGTCGCTACTTTGGGCGGTGTGCTGGCCTTTTGACTGGGGTCGGCCTTGAAGCTAGCTTTGCGTTCCTCGTCGATGAACATGGCACTGAGTTTCGATGGCGAGCCACTGTCCGATTTGCGGCTACTATCGTCTGTATCGGAGGTGACTTCAACATAGGCTGCTACATTAATCACCTTATCCACGAGGCTTTGCTCGTTCTTCGATACTAGCTTGTAGTTGATTGGCGCTGAGGCTGGTACTGCTTTGCTGGGCATTATGACCAGCGATGCACCCGATGTAGAACGCGGTTTAGACTTGTGTACGCGACGCACTTCATCTTCATCATAACCGTCGGTGCTGTCCTCATCATCGTAAGGGCGATTACGCAGCAGCGCTGAAGCATCGCCGCGGCCATTGCGACACTTTGCCGAAGCTAATATGTTCTTGCGATTCGTGGCTGAATCACTGGAACCGGACTTGAGCACGCGACGCGACAGATCAACTGTGGGAGTGCTGCCCACCGATGAACAGCTAGCCTGCGAACCCGAGCCAGATGTGAGCGTGGAAGTCGTTGAACTGGCTATAGATGTGTTCGTTTCCGACGAGAGCGTGCGTGTAAGCGCAAACTTCTCAGGTACCTGCGGCACGCAGGGAGACATAGGTGGCGAGGACACTTTCGAGGAGAAAACAGAATCCGAGTCGCTCTCTTCGTGCATAGCGTGTTGGCGCGGTGGCACGCTGAGTGAGGTGCGTGGCGGTTTGGCAGGCGGTGTGCTATTTAGCACTGGCTCAAAGCGGCGTGGCTGGTGTGGCATGGCGAGTGGGGACTGCACCGTTGTGGCATGCCGCGGTGCGGCAGTTTGTGCGGAAAAAATGCTACGGTAGCTATTATTGGCAGACATGTTGGTCGAGTTGCTTGTAGTAGCTACGGTGAGTGGACGCAGCGGTGAGTTGTGCATTATATCAGTGCGTTTGGCGGGACGAGGCACGGTGGAAAAGTAGCTACTACTAGAGCCAACGCCGCTGTCCGTCGAATCTGTGGACGACGTATTGCCTGACTTCAACTTTTCACTATCACGACTTTTGATCTCCGGGAGATCGAGTATGGGTTCAAGCGGCACATGCGGACGCTCTGGTATAACCAATCCACGCAGTTTGGACATGCTGCGGCGTCGTTGCTCCAGTATATTTGTTATGGCCGCCTTGCGCGATGCCTCGTCTGGCATGTAGGTTGGCTGTCCCGAAAAGCTAATGCGGCGCTCCAAGTGTTGCATGTGGCGCCGCGGCAATGACGCATAGCTCTGTGTGTAGTCTGTAGCCAGCGTATTCAGCGCGTACATGGAATCTGAAAAGTTTTGCGTAGGTAACTGTTTAGCCAGCTGCACTTGACGTGCCACATCGTTGAGATTCTCCACGCTCATAGCACGGGTCTTCGTCAGATTGGAGGCTGTTGTGACATAGCGCGCGCTCGTTGCTGTATCAAGCAAATTCTCAGTGCTCAGATTGAGTGGTTTAGTAGCGCTCTGCGTGCGCGAAAAACTCAGAGGTTTCACTGGTGTCTCCGCACCACTGCTCTCGGCGTCGTTTGAGAACATAGCGATCTTATCGCGCACGCTCTTCTCCGATTTCTCATCCTTTCTCCAGTCGCTGTGCCGACGTGGTGCACTCAACGAACGCTTGTAGTCGCTGCCGGTGCCTGTGCCAGTACCACCCACTTCAAACGAGGGTGGTTCCAGTTTGTTGGCTGTTGGTGTGCTACTACCGCTCGACGACAGATTCTGTGTCGAACGGCTGTGACGTGACTCGAATACTAATTTGCCACTACCAGCACCCGAAGGGGTAGTGGCTTCAGCAAGCACATCCGTGCGTTTATCGGACGCATGACGCGCATCCTCCACCTTTACTACGAGATCCTGGCGGTATGTCTTGCGCGGCACAGTTGGTGGTGGACCAGATTTGGGTAGCGGTGGTGGTACAGTTGCTTCTGTGCTATCACCTACTTTACTGTCACTGCTGTTGCTACTGATAGTAAATTCCAGTATGGGCACATCAACATTACTGCTGCTGATATTCAGTGTACCGTTCGCCGGTGAGGATGACGTGGCAGTCGTTGCCCCGGCTGTTGTGTTATTAGCGCCATTGCTATTAATGTGTTTATGTGTTGTGCGTGTACTAGCTACCAGAGTTTGGCCACCACTGGCGCTAGCTGTCGTAAAGAGTTTTTCTGTGTACACGGTATTTGTGTTTGTGTTATTGCCCTTTGTGCTGGACATCGTCATGGTGGTGGTGGTGGACTGCATTAGGCTTGCAGCCTTCAATAGATTTGTGCTGGGCGGGGGCATTATTAGTGGTTCACTGAAATTGGGCGGAAACTCATGGCCGTCGGGTGGCAGGCGTGAATATGTGGGTGGTGAGCTGAGTGTGAGATAGTCGCTGACGAGTAACGGTGTTTGCGGCACCACCTGTATGCCGTTCTCCATTTTGTCTTTGCTACTCAAGTGAGTTTGGTCAAGATCTGTGCGGGTTGACGGGCGGAGGGGAAGAAACAGAAAAAGGAAAACAAATATGTTGTTAGTCACGAGCAAACGATGGAATACATAAAAAAGTGTTTTCAAGTACCATGCGTAACTAAATTTTAGGGTATACAAATTAGATACTAGTAATTATTAAGGGCTTTTTAATATAAAATATCGTTCAACAAAAAAAAAAGTTGTGGGCATTACCACAAAATAGGTTTTAAATTAAAACTTTTTTCAAATGCATTTTGCGTCATAATTTTTTTTTTTTAATTTTGTTTCCTTTTTAAAAAATATTTTTTTGTTTCTGTCATCCCTAACAGTTGATACATTTTAAACGATCTTCAAAAGCTATTTCTGATTTTTGGCTAGATAAGGGCCTTATTGAAAACAAAAGCTCTTTATGAGCTTAAAGTTTGCTTCGTAATTTCCGGGCTTAAGACTATGTCAGTTTAGATACATACATGCATATGTGTGTATTTAATATATGTATACATATATGTACATATACAAAAAAATGGAAAATATTTAAAAATGCATGTATATTAGGGTGGTCCAAAAATGCATGTGGAAAAAGTAAGGTTGGAATTTTAATGCTCTCACCACTTAGGATTGTTCTACATAGAAAGAAAATATGTCCTTGTTTTTTATTTCGAAATCAAAAAATATTTAGAGGTCGCCCAAACCGCTCAATATTTTCCATGTATTTTATATAATTCTTGAAAAGCAATATTTTTGGATCGGAGAACTCTGTTTCTCTTTACGAGACTTCCAGTAATAACTCCCAATGGTTTATTTTACCATTTTTTAATACTAGCGATTTTTTTATGAGTCCCCCATTAAATTTTTTGGGGTTTTTGGGGGACCTACAAAAAATAGTTAATATTAAAAAATTATTAAATAAACCCTGAGGAGAAAAATGCTTTCCGATCGAAAAACATTGATTTTCAATTCTATACCATTTTTATGAAAAATGGGTTTTTCATATAAAATACATGGAAACTTTGAGCACTTGGAGTTACCTATAAATATTTTTTGATTTCAAAAACAGAGATATATTTTTTTGGTACAGAACAATCCTAGGGGGTGAGAGCATTAAAATTCCGACTTTACTTATTTCGGACCAACCTAATGCACCATACATACATATATGTATGTACATATGGTCGAGGTCAACACTAGTCGCAAAGATCTATAAAAACGTGTCTTTTCTACGCCTCTGGAACTAGGAGTTCCCTTAGGCTAAGTACCGGCTTATCCCCAACACTGAATTCGAGCTTACACATTGTAGGATCTTCACTAGTTCGGCAATCCAAGTATTTGCTGGGTGCAGGTTACTTAGGAGTAACTGCTAATAAGACGTCGGACCATTTGGCTAGGGAGGGCTAGGATCAAGTTTTCTTTGGTCTGCGTACAACGAAACCACCATCAGAAACTGGATGAATTTTTTGCACAGCAATGGCGGACTGGAAGGCCTGGAGGGGCTTCAATTGTGGAAAATATCATGTTTGTTTCAATTTCAGAGGGGTATTTTTTCTGGATATTTGCAGTTGGGATTACAAAAAAGTTGCGGGATTGCAGCCTGGTTAATTATTTCTCGTTGCACAAACACTCGACTGCTATTCACATTCATGATAATGATAACAACTTTTGACCCTGCTGCTTTGAGCAGACGACTGAACAAATTTGGTAACTCTTCCGTCTTTGCCTTTGCAGGGCTTTGTTATGAAGCTTTCGGCAGCAAACTGTTGGGAGACGAGAAACTGAACACCTTGATACTCAATAGTCTGCCTCTAGTTGTTCGTAAATCGTGTAGCTTTGAAACAGATCAAAAGGAATATGAGAAAAAAAATTGTTAAAATAAGCTAAAAATTAGAGTTATATTTAAAATATTAATTTGTAATTCTTGCCTACTGTGTATTTGTTGGTGTAATGAAAACAATACTTCAATGAAAAGACAGGAAAGGATGCCAAGCGATGATTGTTTTTTTTTTAAGGAAGTCTTTTGGCCTTAAAAATATGTACATTTGTAATTATAAGGAAACATTTTTGGTTACATGACTTCGAAGCCATTTTTTGCAAATCACAAATAATATGAACGACAAAAGTAATCTGTGTCAAAGGCAAATTAATACGCCATGGTTGCATAAGTATGTAGGTGTGAATGTGCATTGAGTTAGGAAAGAAAAAAACAAAAGAAATAAATATTATTGTTATTAATAGTTGCTCTCTCAGTTTTGCAAAACGAGAATGTTAAATTCTTATAGTCCACATATGAAAGGCTATACGTACAACAAATGCATGTGGACATACAATATATATACACATCCAAACATATTCACGTATGTATATACGTAATATGCATGTATTATTATAAGCCCAGCGGTCACAATCATTTGTTTATACATTGGTTATTAATATTTATGCGACACATATGTACATATGACAAAAAAAATATGCAAATATGTGACGTTACAATTGCAACAAAAATCAACAATTTTGTAGTACAGCATGGTCGCGAAATCTTACGCAATTGCAGCAAAAGTGTCACCCATAAACAAATCAAGGTGCATAAATCAAGAAAAATAAAAAAAAATAATGAAGCGATAAATCGCACAAATTTGGAAACAGGGATACAGTAAAACAAAATACAATAAAATTAAAAGAAGCAAAAATAAAAAAATAAGAAAAAAAAAATTAAAAAAAATCTCAAAAAAAATTAATATTTGCATAGAAAATGAAAAAAATTTAAGTTTTTAATGGCTAAGCGGTTTCTTTTCAATAAAAAAAATTTAAATTAGGTTTTCTTCGCGGCTGCCCTAATCTAGCGTTGGGAGGAGGCACACAAAGGCAGCTATGGTAAATTACTCGAGATATCGGAGTAAAAGAGAAATTTCTCCAGAAACTTTAAGTATTTAAGTATTATGAAATATTTTGCAAGTTGGCCAGTCCGATGCGCTGAATGAAATCTTTCAAACATTTTTCAGTATAAGAAAAATATGTTACGTATACAGGTAGCTGTGAGTATTTTTCATAAAACCGTGCATAATTATCAGCCCTTTTGTAAAAGATGTCTTGCGAGCCTTGTGCCCTGAATCTTTTTCTTCTTAGGCACATATGTGCATATATTTACGTATATTTCTACATTTATGTGAAAATGGTTCATCTCCGAAAGTTTATAGAGAAGCATTGTAATGCGAAAAAGCAACTACAGTTAAAATATACCCAAGAAATTTTTTACACATTTTCAAGAAAACAACGAGCCCGGAAAAATTTTTACAGCTCAGAAATTTTTTGAAAAATTTAGGCTTGGAAATCGTTTTCTAAAGATGGAAGTATAAACTTTGTTTTAGATAAAGCACTAGGTATGGGTTTAATACAAGTGTATGGTGTGATTTTAACCCAAAGTAATCAAACCATTTTGTTTTTCGGATTTTTCTCAATATATTTGGTTCACGGAGTCAATGGCTGTCAAGTTCACTTAAATTTCCTAGAAGCAGTGGAAATCCACAAACTTCCGTTTTTCAACGAACATAAGATTCTGAAAATTGGTTGCAAACTCTCAAATTTATGGCAGTTATTTTGACCCAACATCCCGATTTTTAGTTTTGTTGATTATAGCTTAAGATGTTGGGGGGGTGTATTTGAAATTCTGCTAATGCCAAAAATATTTTCTAGATTTGTGTGTATTAGCTGTACTCAGTTGTATGGACATAGTTACTACAAGAAGGTCAATAGAAGAGGACATCAACCATCTGGAAGCCTCCGGAAATCCAACCATCGAAAACTGTGCTTGAGTGAGAGCTCTTATGAATATAACTACCTCACTTTCTGCCTTAAGGATCAATTTGAAAATGTTCGTGTATGTGGCCACATAAACAGAATACAGGTTCCAGACCAGGTTCTCAGCTCAATTGGGTTGAACTTTGGTTAGCATATTCATTATTGTAGATTTATCCATCCAGGGACAATCACCAGGCTCGAACACTGTAGCAGTAGTATTAGATAATTTTATTTAAAAAAAATGTCCTGCTTTTACCATAATTAATATATAGCAATGGCCAGTCATTTCGCAAATCACCAAAAATTAGAATGGCAGCTTTACTTATTCAAATGAGAGTGACGGCGAAAAAAAAAATCACTAAAAAATAGAATTGCCGAATAGAATGGCTTAATATCGCACATAATGCATAATTTGTCTTCTAAACAAGTTTCCTTATATGAATGCTGAATGTTTTATTTTATTTGATGCTTTTTTCACTCGCTATGCATATGGTTTGATTACGTGACTTTTTAAAATCTTGATTAAGAATTTGGTGATAAATTACTGTACACACTCGATATGACAATTATTTATGAATATGAATATGCGAGGGTACAAATGGGCATTTGTGCATACATTCATAAGTAAATATTCGTACATACATACATAGCAAATATCTGTGGTCGTAAGCAATAATCGCCTAAGTCGAAAAATCTGAAGTGGAGCAAAAAAGCTTTAAAGATTTGGATTGTAATGTTAACCTTATGGGGAAACCGAACTTTTTAAATAGCCTAGCTAACGAGATGGAAGTTTCACATACACATAGAATAGTAGTTGCTGAAAACGATAACATATATAACTCAATTCTTTCTCAAGTCGACTTAGGCGGTTATTGCTTATGACCACAGATATATATGTATATATGTACTATAGCTGAATCGGAAATTTATAAAGGTTATCCGGCTGATTGTAGAATTTATATAAGGCAATAAATTAAAGAGTCTTTAGTTTGTAAGAGGATGAAATTTGTACTAATAATAATAATAATATTTTGGCATTCACACCTTTGCCGATTACACCGATTTACAGTTTTACGACGAATCCGAACGGCAAATGGATTTTATGAGAAGCTTTTTCATGACAGAAATACACTGGGAGGTTTGCCTTCGCCTGCCGAGGAGCGACCGCTGTGAACCTTTTTTTTCTAATTCAGACGTACTAGTGGGGAACAAAAAC